AATTTGTGATCACCGATTTTGTAATATTTGAGTGAGAGAATAAGATTATAATGCTACGTTTCATTTCAATCATTTTTTGGTTTAATATGCAACTTAAAGTGGGAATGGCTATTCCATTGGAATGAAAATTCATTCCACAACTAAACCTATGGAATGGTCTTTTCATTCCCAATTAATTTATTTTAAAAAATCGACTTCCCAAAATACCCTCATATTTCAAGTCTAAAAACTACCATTACCTTCTACCACAATCATCTACGCCTTTCACCACCACCACCACCACCACCACCACTGCCTTCTACCACCACCGACTTTCACCATCGCCCACCACTTTCCACCACTACCACTACCTTCCACTACCACCGACTTTCACCATCGCCTACCACTTTCCACCACCGCCACCACCTTTCACCACCGCCACCGTTTGCCGCAACCACCACCACCGCCTTTCACCACCGCTACCGCCACCACCTTCAACCACCACCATTGCCATTGCCTTTCACCACCTTCCACCACTATCACCGCCATCGCCTTTCATCACCACCGCGTTCCGCCACCTTCCACAACCACCAACAACGCCGCTATCGCTTTCCACCACCGCCATCGCCTTCTACCACCTTCCATCACCACCACCTTTCACCACCACCATCGCCACCACCTTTTACCACCACCACCGCCACCGCCACCGCCACCGCCTTCCACTACCACCACCTTCCACCACCACCACCACTACTTCCAATGCCTTCCACCACCACTATAGTCACATCACTATCTCCTTCTACTACAACTACCACATTACTGCCACCACCTTCCACCAATACCACTGCCACCTTCTACCACCACTGCTACTACCAATTTCCACCATTGCCACCACCGTCGCCTTCTAACACCACTACTTACACTACTACCGCTTTCCACCATCCACCACGGCCACTGTCACCGTTTATTTTTAAAAAATTATTAGAGAATATCATTTTGTTAATTTAATTTAATTTATTTGTTACTAAGAGGGATAATTTGGAGAATTCAATTAGAAATTTATTCTATTCTAAATTTTAAATTAGTCCAACCAAACACTAGAATATTTATTATCATTCCATTCCATTCCCATTCTCATTCCATTCCCATTCTCATTCCATTCTCACTTGCATTCTATTCCATTCCTGTATACCAAACGTAGCATAATATTCTCGCTCAATTCTAAATCAAGTCGTAAGTACTTTAATTTGATTTTTTTTACATATTTGAGTAGCATTTTTTAAAAAAAGTTTAAGTAATAGTGTAAAACTTGAATGAAAAATCCAGCCCAAATCAACTTTTAAGTGATTTATGATTGAGAATCGAATAATATGACCCAAGCTAAAAGTTACCAATCCAAATTTAACCTTATTTTAACCCAAATGTATAAACACACAGGCATGTCCAGAATTATTAATGCAAGAAAATGAAAGTTTAGGATGTTCTATTTATTTCGTCTTCGCAATTGAATTATTCTTTCTTCTTTTTTTTTTTTTTTTATATGCATTTTTTTTATGATTAAAATCAAATTTCTCAACATGAACTCAGAGATTGAGAGTGGGTTGAATTAAATTTAGGTTAAAAAATTTATTACTTTAATTGGGATTAATTAACCTTGAAAACATGTGTAATCAGTTCAATTTGTATGAATAATAATAATAAAAAAAGTTGATACTACAAAGAAAAAATGGTATATGACGAAGGCTTGAGCTCACCATCCCACAAAATATCATGCTTTCAAGTATGTTTTTAGAATAAAAGTGCTACAGAGTCGCTTTGGCATCAAGTTGCATAAACAGCAATAGAGGAAAGTTACCAAAAGGCATGGTTAGAAACCTTCTAGAAGCTTTAGGGATTAATTCTTATGCTGCTATTGTTTCTTTTTGGGAAATCAATCCATATTGTTAGAAGGGATTGCTAATTTTATAATTGAAAGGAATTTTTTTTTTTTGTTTTTTTCATTCCTGCTTTGGAGCGGATGGGTCATATATGTGTAGGGTACTAGGGGTGGAACTCGGGCAGGTCCACCCCGAACAACCTAAGTCCAGTTTAAAATTTTTTTGGACTTGAGTGGTGTAAATTGTAATTTAGTTTGAGTTTGGGTTGAAAAGTAAACATCTGAATTTATTTTACTGTGTTGGACAACTCAAAATTCAACCCGAGTTCATATCGAATTCCAAAATCTAACGAACCCGAGTTATACTTGTGTTGATTGCATGTAGTTTGGTTATTTAAGAAATTCACCTCATTGTAACGTAAATAAATTATTCAACTTATTAACTTTTAACCAATTGGTTGTTATATCATGTCAATATCTCTCATTATTTTAGTTGTCAAAAAGTTTTCATTTATCATTACAATAATCTGACTACTAACTTGAATTTTCAGTCCGATTTGCAAGTTCAAATTCAACCCGAGTTTAAGGAACTAAAAATGAGTTGAACTCGAATTGATTAGCTTGGGTTAATGATCGAGTTAGGTTAAATTATAATCGGAGATTTTATAACTCATATTGAGCTTGTGTTGAATATCTAACATGTTCGAATCCTACTCTTATCTATATGACCTACGCCTACTAGATTTAGAAATGTCCTTATATAAAATTTTCAAACTTATTAGCTTTTGTCAATACATAATTATTATCATGACTCTAATTTGAACCATATGTTTACAAAAAGCTTCATCCTTGACTATTGAAAATTTTGTTATGGGTGGGCATTCTTTAGAGACATGATTACTACGATCAAAGAAAATTTTCTTCCGGGTTGGCGTTCTCTGGACTCATGATTACTACAATCTTTGATCTTGCATTTTAAATATGTTTTGCTTTATGATTATTATTTGGAGAAATTAAAGTTTTACTAATATTTTAAAGGAAGAAGCTGAAAATTCTCTTTTAAAGAAAATTTTTTAAAAAATTCTGTGCGACACAAAGAAAGGAAAGGTCTCATGCCCCATTTATGTTGAGAACTTGAGTTTATTAATTGAGTTTTTTTTCGTTCTCTAATGTTAAATTATTATTATTATTTTTTTAAAATTACAAAAATTATGCCCCTCTCTCAAACTCTCACCCCTTTCTCTCTAAAATATATTTTTTGTAATTTTAAAAGGTATTTTTGGAATTTTTAAAAATAATTTTTAGTTTTTAATTTAATATTAAATAATAAGGTTAAATGTGTCATTTCATATCACGGTTAACAGGTCGGATACAGATATTGGGGTAATGTGATAACTTTTTGAAAATGTAGGAATTTTCTGAAATAAGTTAGAGGTTTTATGATCAAAATTTGAAAATAGTGAGGGTTTTATAATTTTAACCCTACTTTTTAAGCACAACTTAAGTGAGGTGAGAGAATTTAAAGCTTGGTTTTTGGATTTGAAATATTAGTATTTTTGAGAACTTGATTTTTTTTTTTTAAATGTACATAGAAATGAAATGATCATTTCATAAATTTAGTTATGTATTCCTACAATAAATTTTTATTCCAATAAAATGATCATATCAAACAAATGAATATTTGAAATGGATATTCCATTCGTGCTCATACCAAAGGCGTCAAACATTCTCTTTTTCAGTACTAATGCTACCAATGCAAAATACAATGTATCTTAATTAAGTTAGTTATATCTCCTAGTAAGATTTATTTATATTAGAAACGTAGTTTTGATTATACTTTTTGTAACAAAAGGTTATTTCTTGAGGGTAGATTTATATCTTATAATGATCATATTGTAATAGTTTTTGAATGTATTTTTCTATTGATATGTATATTAGAGGACTTAAATTTTCTAAATTAAATCTTCTCTGAGTTATTCTAAGTTGAATTCTCTGCAGATTGACAAGTGACATTTAAAATCTATCCACTGCTTGTGTTAAACCACGTCAACTAATTTAAAGAAAGTTTGAAAATTGAACCGTTTTGAAGTAAAAAAAATTTACCAAAGTTTAAAAACTACACCGTTTTGAAATAAGGCCGTTTTGAAATAAGGAAAATTCACCATACTTTAACGACGTTAACTCGTTCTCTCTTCTCATTTTTTTCGAAAAAGATCGCTCCCTCTCTCTCCTCTTGCTTATTCCCACGATTGGGGAAATATTTAAGCATCTGTATTGGATTTTGCAATTTAAATGTCAAAAAAGAGAGGTATTTTGCAATTTAGATTTCAGAAAAAGAGAGTAAACCAGAACAATTTTGCATTTTAAATTTCAAAAAAGAGGAATTTTGCAATTTAGTTTTCAGAAAAAGAGAGTGAAAAAGAGAGAAATTTTGTAATTTAGATTTTAGAAAAAAGAGAGTGAATGAAAGCTTCCGAGTGTCAAAAATAGTGAAAGAGAACATTCATTTTTGGCGTAAAATAGTGGGAATGAGTGATGAGAGAGGGGACGATCTTTTTCGCCAAAGATGAGGAAGGGAGAACAATAATTTTTCTTATTTCGAAACGGTACAATTTTCAAACTTTTTTAAAATTAATTGACGTGGTTTAAAACAAACAGTAGATAAATTTTAAATGTCATGTGTCAATTAACAGAGAATTCAAAATTAAAACTTAGAAAAGATTTAATTATAGGATCCAAGTTCTCTATTAGAAGGGATTTTATCCTTTTGATACAATAGATAAAAACTCAATTGTGGATCCCATTTCCGTAGTAAAAGGATAAAAACTCCTTCAACTATTAATTACTGTATCAATTTGAGAAATTAATTTAAGAATCAATTTCCAATTACTAATTAGAAGAACATTTTCATTAAAAATAGGGAAAACATATTCCTGGGACTTGTTGAAAGGTATTTCCCCATTTTTTTTCTCTTGGGTTTTGGGCAGGTAATTACCAAAAATATCCTCTCACTACCTAGTTGGTAATTGTGTTTTAACTTTAACTGAACTGTTTGGAGACAGAGAAAGAGAGAGAGAGAACCATTGGCATTCCCCACAGAAAAGGTGGTGGGAAAAGTTCTTTTTGTACACACTGCGATGATGGTGATGATGATGCCTACAATCTCCCACAGCAACAACAAAGAATTCCCCACTCTCTCTCTCTCTCTCCCTCTCTCTCTCTCTCTACAGCTTTTGCTCTTTCATCTCTCTGTTTTTCTTCTAAACATGGTGATTAATCTTTTCTTCTTCTCATCTCCTTCACTCATCCTAAGCCCATGAAAGGCTGAACAGTGTGACTTCCATGGATAAGAAGTGTGGGTGTTGGTCAGTCCTCAGTCGCAGCATCAGAGGTACCTGCAAAACCTCTGCTTCTAGGGACTCTACTCACACTATTCCAAGAACTAGTCTTGTATATGATGCAGGTATTATATGTGTGTATATATATATTGAAATTGCAGATAATGGGTTTTTTCTTTTGGTAGTTTTGTGCTCCAATCATTGATCTAGGTCTTCAGGTGATAGCTCATTGTTTATCTAGAACTGGGTTGACTGTTGAATTTGAGAATTTGATTTTTTTGGTCCTCCCCATTCCCAACTCTATAGGTTTGTTTCCTCTATACAGGTGTTGAATTTGGTTCCTCACACCTTTGTTTCCTATGTTAATTTTGAGTATTTTGTAATTTCTCTCTTAAATTTCCCAAATAATATCCATAAAGCTTCTTTAAACTTCAATTTCAAAGTGGTTCAATACTAGGTTTTCCTTTTTACTTGGGATTTGCAAATTGAGTAGTTCGAAACTATCTCAGAAAGTTTTTGTATTTCCTTTTTCTTTTGGTTAGTTTTTAACTTTTTAACCAAAGAAGCCAGAGATTCTCAGGCAAATTTTCAGTTTATGCTTCCAGGACTTAAAGTTTCTCTTCTTGGATCTGTTCCAGGGTTTGTGACAAAGTAAAAACTTCTCTAGGTTGATTATGATGGATGCATGAACTGTATGTCATTTTCATATTATCAGCAATTATAGATTTCTTTTACATTTCTCATGGTTTTCCTAATTTTGCTCAAGCTGTATATGGCTGCAAATGTTCATTTCATTGGGTTCTTACTGCAAAAGAATGGGTTTCTGTTTTTTCAGCTTTTGCTTCTTTTTGAAGAATATATTTCATGTTGATGAACTAAAAAATTCCATAATTTCGCGAAAATTGCAGTCCAAAGTGCAACAATTTCCAAATTAAGCTAATGTAACATTTATTGTACTCTGTTGAAAACTTGTGTATGTCCGGTGATGCAGCTACGGAGACAAGATACCTAAATGCTAGCAATCGAGAGATGTGTGCTCCGAATGAAGCTCATAACTCCTCCGATAATGCTGATACAGTTGCACTAGAAAACAAAGGTCAACGCCAGCTGCTCCAGTTTAGTTTTCAGGAGCTAAAATCTGCAACTGGAAACTTTAGACCTGATAGCATTCTTGGGGAGGGTGGATTTGGGTATGTCTTCAAGGGATGGGTGGAGGAGAATGGGACAGCACCGGCAAAACCTGGATCGGGGGTTACAGTTGCTGTCAAGAGTTTGAAGCCAGATGGTCTTCAGGGCCATAGAGAATGGGTGGTTAGTAGATTATCTGCTTTGGGTTAGTAGATTGATGTCGAAAACATAATGTTAGTGTGATGCCAAAAAATGGTGGATGTAACAAATGATATTTTGCTTAATGCAGGCTGAGGTAGACTTCCTTGGACAGCTTCATCATTCTAATCTTGTTAAACTTATTGGTTACTGCATTGAGGATGATCAACGACTTCTCGTATACGAATTCATGACCCGTGGAAGCCTTGAAAATCATCTTTTCAGAAGTGAGTGTTGACATACTCTTACTTTATTCCCTCTCCCCCAAAAATGAATAAAGAAAGAACCATGTTGCTTGAATTCTTTCACCTGCTTTCGACTTTAACTATCTCTAGGACATTGGTCATTTGCATTGTGTTCATCTCCCCTGGGCACTGTTTGGTTAATAGATTTAGTGAGGTTTAAAATGGCCGAATAATATGAAAGCGAATTGAAAATGACATGTAAGAAAAGTCCATGATTTCCTCATATTTTGTTTTTTTCCATTTTCCTCCCTGTTTTCCAAGGACACCAAACAAGAGAATATGACTTCATCCATGTTGGTCTTTTCCTTTCCCTCACTAAATCTGCAAGAAACAAAGACCCTGCCATTCGGATTGTCCAAAGCAGCATTTTTATGCAGAAGATGCACCAAAGATGGCAATGCTGTGCATCAAACATCATGGATAGTGTGACTAATTTTTGGGCCCATTTTGTTTGATTTATTTCAATGTTAAGTATTTAATTTTCTGCTCATAGAATGACAAATCACAAGTGCACCAAAATTTTATATTTCTCTACTTATAAGAGTAATGATTATATATATATATATATATATATATATATATATATAAACCAATAGCAACGGTTGTATTGTTATCACAAGGGATAATTTAGATTTATCAGAGTCCTCTTTTAGTGCTTATAGTTGAAAGCAGCTTATCACACATTTATTAAAAAAATTTCTTGCTTGGTATTGCCATGATAGTTTCGTAGTTGAAACACAATGTTATATAATAATCTCTAAACATTAAGCTTTATGCTACTAATTATAGTGTACCTAATGTTGGCTTGTTGAGGAGACAAAAAAAAATAGAACTTCTTATCAGTTAATTTATGCTTTCAATGATACAAGTGTAATTATTTTATTAAACAATTCCTGATGTTACTGAAATTCTTGAAGGGAACATACCTCTTCCATGGTCCAACAGGATTAAAATTGCGCTTGGTGCAGCTAAAGGCTTAGCTTTTCTCCACGGAGGCCCTGAACCTGTCATCTATCGAGATTTCAAGACATCGAACATTTTGCTTGATTCGGTATGTATTAATGATGTTAATGAATTTTTATTTCAAATCTTTTACTTAATTGACAGCACACTAAGGAACTTTTATCCATAGGAATACAATGCAAAGCTTTCAGACTTTGGTCTGGCAAAGGCAGGGCCTCAGGGAGACAAAACGCATGTTTCTACAAGAGTGGTTGGAACATATGGCTATGCAGCTCCAGAATATGTAATGACAGGTATTTGATCATACTCATATAGTTTGAGCTAACTGAAACCTATTCTGAGAAGGAATGTCTCGATATTGAAAAAAGATTAAAGATCTCCATAACAAAGCAATAGAATATAATGAGAGTGCAAACCATTTGTTGTAGGCATTTTTGGTAGATCTTCAACCATGAAACAAACCTGAGAAGGCTGTTTCTTGTAATAAACAATTTTACAATCTGAAATTATGTCTTTGTAAGTCATGTACCACTAAAACTTCACAAGTGTCTAGTCTGAATGCTTGAGAACCTACTTTTTAAAATCTTTGGCTTAGATGCTAAATTGGTCACTTGATCATGCTTCATATACTATGGAAGATTGAGATCTAGCTTCTTTTTCCCTCAGGACATTTGACTTCTAAGAGTGACGTATATAGCTTTGGCGTCGTGCTGCTTGAGATTTTGACAGGCAGGAGATCAATGGACAAGAAACGCCCCAGCGGGGAACAGAATCTCGTTGCATGGGCTCGGCCATATTTGGCTGACAAGCGAAAGGCTTACCAACTAGTGGATCCTCGGTTGGAACTGAATTACTCTCTTAAAGGGGTGCAGAAAGTCTCTCAGCTAGCTTACATCTGCCTTAGCAGGGATCCAAAATCCCGTCCTTCCATGGATGAAGTAGTGAAGGTTCTCACTCCGCTGCAAGATCTCAATGACCTCGCCATATTATCTTATCACTCTCGTTTATCTCAACAAGGAAGGCGCAAGAAGAAACCAGATGGACCTCACCATCTCACCTACAACCAATCCAAGAGCATAAGAGCTTCTCCATTGAATACTGGGAAGCAGCATTGTAAATAAAGGTTAATCAATTCTTCTCCCCTGATTCGCTCGACTGTCAACTGAATCCAAATGCTGGGAGGCCGATTCCATAGAATGGGTTGTAAGAAGAATATAATTAGAAGTTTGTGGATGGATGATCTTTGGCTGTTTGAAATTTGACAGAGCCATCAGGACAATGTAAGAGAAAAGGTACATCATTTACCTTCTCTTTTATAAACCTTATAGTTAGTAGAGTTGAGATCTAACTGTCTGTTATCATTCTCGCGATTTGCCTTTATCGTAATTGAGAGATGTCATTGTAATTAGAAAAACCTTCCATTTCCAAGATTGTTGTTTTCAAATTCCTGAATGCCATCTGCTTTGAGTTTTGGGAATTTCATTTTGCATAATTCTTCCAAGTATTTCTGTAGAATTCCATCCTGAACCTGCCTTTCATCACGAGTGTTTGAAGTAATGAATTATGTATTTGATAAATCCTTCGATTTAATCAAACGTTAATGGGGAAAGTTTACTAGTGCGCTAATAAGATTGTTCCATTGTGATGTCATGGGGTTTGAAACAAGGAAACAGCCTCTCTGCGGAGGTAAGGCTGCGTACATCTGTATCCCCGAATCCTGCACTGGCAGAAACTTCGTGCGTACATCTGCATTGGCGTGGGTACTAGGTCAGAATTGTGTCAAGGCCATCTCAAAGACATTAATAGACCCACTATGTTTCCAGCAAAATCAGCATATATGCATTGCGTCAAGATATAAAGGAAAAGTATATATATTGTAATGACTTTAGGATCAAAACTCTGTAAAAAAATATTCAGTTTGTTGGGGATTCGAATCGATGTCAAATTTAAGATAGAATCTGGACCGGCTTTAACTTATTTGTTGAATCAATTCTAGAAAGTTACAGTGAACTTAAATAATTAGATGTGCTAAAGTGTGTTTGCCACTGATGACTGAACCTTATAAAAGCACCACCACCTTCTCCACCTTCTTAATAAAATGTTTAGCTTTGTGTCCTTGATTAAGTCATACAAAGCGCGAGCAGTAGCGAAGTGAATTCGAAAACGGGAGCGTGAGAGCGATAAAATTAAGTCATAAGCAGTAAGAATTTGAACGAGAGCACGCACGGAACGTAAGAGTGAGAGCGCGCTCGGAACGTAAGAACGATACCTGTTGAGAAGAATTGTGTGACTTAGGTCCTTAAACTAGCTCCAAACTCAGCACAAAAATGCTAGTTGGTCTGTGATCCTACTTAGAAGTTGTGACCCAAATTTTGTTTTAGTCCGGTTGTGTGACCCAGTCTTGACTTGAAAGACAATTTTGACTCGTTTTCATCTATGGGTCATGGATTTACGTTAGTTTTACAACGAAGTACGTAAATCTTTGTATTTTTTTTTTGCGTGATGTGATTTTTTGTCCTAATACAAATGAAAATCCTTTTAACTTCAAATGGGATAACTAGTCGGTAATTGTCTTCTTTTAGCTGAAGTTGTAATTACCCATTTCATATTTGTTCCTTTGTGTTCCAAATTCACAGAGCAGTTTCTGGTCCGTAGTAAAGAAAAACACAACAATCCTGCTATTGCATGCATCCTTCAAAAATAGTAATCAATGATATTATTTCTTGTTTCAATCCTTTCCCGTGCCACCCAGAACTGACAACTCAATATTACAACCAACATTGACACTTGATAGCAGTCTAAGAATGTGAGACTCATAAAGAGGTCATGACAACTTTGATATCCATTAATTGCAAACACAGCAAGTGTTTTATTCTGATTGATCCTCTAGATGTTCGATGAATTTCCTTTGAGAAGAAATGTCAAAACCAATGGTTGTTCTCAGAAGAGTACAAGTGTATCACTCTGCCTATATGTATATATATATATTTGGAAATCGAAACCTTCCGATCATCGGCAGGCCTTTTGGACTCAAGGCCGTAAGATAAATTCCAAATATGTGCAAATCTCCCGCAAACCACACATATCATTTAAATCTGAATATTTTTGTGTCTTGTGAGAGTCAAACTCAGGACGGCTAGAGTTTATGGTCGCCCCTTGACACCTCTTAACAAACTAGGCCAGATTTCTATTATTCTTATAATTATTATTTTTTTCCCTAGAAAATCAAACTGGTATATTGATATAGGACAATTACAGAGTATGGGGCACAAGCAACAGAAACTGCCCAAAAACAACCAAAAAGGACAACCATGAACAAGATATAGGCCCAATATTTGGCCCAATTACAGGTTTCAAACAACAGATGAATCCAAGCCCAAACCAACCGAAAACAAATAGCCGTTAATAACGGATATTTGAAATAGCCACCATTTGCAGAGGGTTGAAGGTCTGGACTCTTAGCTTACTACATTACATGGTTGAAAATTTTACCAATGCCATTGAAGTAAAAGCCTTATTGGCATGACAGAACATATTAGCTACATTTCCTACACATGATCTTGATTGTGTGTTGAACAGAGAGTTATTAATTATCGAAGTTTAGAAATTTTTGTTTTTACTACAAGTACATGTCAGTGATCATCAAATTTGTGGATGAAGACTCAAATCTTGGTGTGTTTAGAATCGGCACTTGAAAGACGAGAATCGAAGAACCAAGGGCGCCAGTCTTTTTCTAGTTCAGCATTCCAAATAATGCTCAGTGTTAGCTCCTTCAAATTCCATTCTTTTAAACTTCTCAAAAGCAGGTGAGACTTTCTTGTTCATAAATTTATGACTTCAATAGAGGGACTCTTGAACTGAAAAAAAGGAAGAGAAAAAAAAACTATACGAAACATGTACATAAATATACATAGATGGATCAATAGATAGACAAGGTTTGCAAAAAAAAAAAATGTAAAAATAGATAAGAGATTGTTTTATGATTTTTTGTGAAAGACATAATTAATATATGAACCTTAATTTGCATGAAATTCTCTCACACAATTCAAAAATAACATCTAAAGTAGAATGTGGTATTGTTACATACATTAATTCTAACATTAAAATAGTTAAGCAGCCAAGATGGGCATTAATAAAATTTTGAATAAAACTAAGGAAATTAGATATCGTGAAGAGGGTAATGCAAGGAGTAGAAGCCACAAAGGATATTGTGTGTGTGTGTGTGTACACACACACACACACACAACTAACTAGGGTATGAAAAAATTACCACACATCCCTCCTTCAACCAAAGAAAATAAAGAATGTTAATAGTGGGGATAGGGTAGGTATTGTAAGTGAATAAGCTAACACACACACACACACACAACTAACTAGGGTATGAAAAAATTACTACACATCCCTCCTTCAACCAAAGAAAATAAAGAATGTGTGCCGGATGACTCATATATATTAAATAATACAATTTAATTTTGTTTTCTGTAGTACTTGAAAGTACAAATATTAATTAAACACATATAAGTTAACTCCATTATTACAAAGTATGGACCCATTGCCACCACTAATGATAGTAAAAGCATCAAAACATTGATGAATAGTGAAGTTTCCACAATTGGGCCAACCTTAAAGGTGGTCAATTGCTTTTTTAAAATGGCTATTTCTTATACTGTACCATTAAATAATATAAGCATAAAGAAAAGAAATGTCAATTAATTAATTTAGAAATTAAGTCATAGAAATATATCTTAATTTTCCTCAGTTCTCATTGCCTTTTTATTTTGTATTTTACTGATTTTGCTTATAACAAAATGTATTCCAAGAAATCAAAAATAAGAAAAGCTAGCTACTACACTGAAATTCATCCACAGAGAGAGAGAGAGAGGACTTACTGCATTGAATTGAAAAGAGTACTGGATGAAGAATAATTGATCCAAACCTATAAAACAATAGCCGTTTAAATGCTAGAACAACAAAATTTAATTATCATTACACAACCACAGTGTGTGTGTGTGTGTGTGTATATATATATATATGTTTAACAAAATAGAGTAAAATAGCAGGATGAGTCCAAAAGAGAGAAATAAAGATGATAGGGAGAGCGATTGAAATCCATATACGAAAGTGATATTGGCGCGGCTCAATCTGAGATCGTCCTTTACAAGAACAAGTGTAAATCCGTCTTCGGATTGAACCTCACCAACATCGCTTTCCATGCTTCCCAAACATCCACTAAAAGGAAAAGATAACTACTTTCCTCTTGTGAAAGCAACCAGACAACCATTGCAACATTCTATCCATAAGTGTGTGCTTTAGCTATCAAAGGAGTTTGTATGTGCTTTAGATATCAACTTGTAGGCTCAATATATATATACCACTTACCGGCCGGACAACTAATTAATGAGGAGGAGAAAATAAAGAAAAAGGAGCATCAAGCTAGCATGGTCCCATGTTGCACCAGCAGGAGGACAATAATACATGATCATTTATTTAGGGATAAAGATTGAGCTTGGTGGAGTAATAGGTGGAGGTGAAGGTATTGTTGGTGGTTGGGGGTGGAAAACTTGAAGTGGGATCTTCGAATAATAATGATTTATGTTCCATGAATCGAGCATATAATAAGGGTTTCTGATTCAATATGTTACAATTTGTATCTAGGTACTAAAAATATTATGAAAAAACAAATCAAGAAAGTTATGCAAAAACATTAGCAAGAGGACTTTTTGCCTTTTGTTTAAAATATCTTGAATGATAATTAATTTCCCAGGAAGCAAAATTAAATTAATTTAATTAAAAAAAACCAAAGTAGAAGTAAAATTTTGAAGTACTACATAGTTGTATGGTGATTACTCTTTGGGTTATGGGTGTGGCATTAGTATTAATTAATGATTATATATATGTTTTTTAATGGTGAACTCAATTAGGGTTAAAAGGAAGATAATTAATGAGAACATAACACTGGTGCAAGCTATTGAACGGCTATAATCGCATGCTCTTTAACAAGAAAAACTACATGTCTATATATATATATATATATGTATGTTGATGCATGAGAGAACAAAGAAAAAGTGATCATAGTGATAAGGAAATGTAACTAGAAAAGAGAGCTAGAGAAAGGAGAGGAACATTTATAACATGTATGATGACAGTTATTGAACGTTATGATAATGCATTTAACAAAACCTACATGTCATGAAGGAACAAATTGAGAGTGATCATGTGATGATAAGGAAATGCAAGCAAGAGATATATATAGAGAGATATATATAGAGAGAGAAATAGAAGAGAGAGAAAGAGGATGAGAGTTAAGTGAGGAGTTGAGTGGGGAAGAAGAGAATATGTATATATGTATGTATAATGGTAGGGTTTTGCCTCGGGATGGGAATTAAGGCGAAGAAGGTGAGTGAAATGATGTTGAAGGGGAGCAGCTTACTTTAGGGTTTGTCATGCTTAGTTTGTACTCAAATATAAATCAAACAGTACTACTGCTTCTCTCTTGCGCATGCACCTGAAATATTCTCCACATAAAAACCACTTTTTATTGTCACACTCTTCTTTCCATCTATCATAATTTAATTTAATTTAAATTAACATTCCTTCTCTATATTATGCTTCATGTGTTTAATTAATTAATTAGTAAAATTATACTCACAGAGTACTAAGATAGTTATGTTGGCTTTACATGCAACCTGGTACAAAGCAAATGATAACTGATTTGCATGCCCAGTATAAACAAACCTTTGTGATTAAAAGTGCATTGATTTACCAATGGGCTAGTGGCCTAACGATATTATGTCCTTACCTCTTAAAGAAAGGTCAAGGGTTAAAGTCTCAGAAGAGACATGTATGTGTAAGTACCAATTAAGAAAAAAAAAGAAGAAAAAAGTGCATTGATTTAATATGGTTAAATCAAAAAGGGTTTAATGGCTTAATTTTTGATTGATACATGCTATTACTAAGCTTGGAGACTTCTTTATTCTAACGTTGATAAATTACCATTGATTTTTTTTTTTTTTTTTCTAATGTTTTTTAAAAAAATTAAGTTAACTTTATATATTCATATACATGTATTTAATCCAAATAATTCTATTTAATTAATTACAGTATACGTGTTGTAAACCGTTATAGTTTAACATATAGTGTTTGGATTCTCTCCTGTGGCGGCATTGTAATTTGTCAACACATTTATTTTTGCTTTCCAACACATTACATCCAGTTGAAATATAATTTGTTTAATACAATTTGCTTAACCTTTTGAAAAAAAAAGAACATTACATCCTGTTGAAAACAGATTTAGTCTGGTTGACACTACAGTAGTGTTGTACAAAGTACTTTTGATGACTATAATTGAATTACTACATTATATCTCATCCAATGATAATAATAAAAAAAAAAAAAAAAAAAAAAATAAAAAATAAAAAATAATGTACCATTTATGTTATACAACCACCAAATCAATATTTGCTATATATAGAGAGGGACCTATAGAACTCAAAATTTTGTAGATTTTCGTCTACAAAAATGTAGTATCTGTTTGTAGAATGCACTAGGCAATCCAGAATTGGTAGTGTAACAGTAGTCATGAGGAATCCATACGTAGGAAACAAAAATGAGTGAAGGAGAAAAAGAAGAAGAGAGAGAAAGTAGAGAGAGAATCTTGGAAACAGGAGCGCAGAATGTCAGCAAAGGATTGTCTCTGGAAAGAAGTTTCGGAAGGTGTACGTACAAAGTAGTTTCTCTCTCTCACACACTCACACACGCACACAAACACACACTTTTTTGCAATCCATGATCGAGCTAAACCAAGCGGGGACACCGGCGCTCAACAAGGCCTGCCTTGGGCATGCCCTAGGGGACACCTATCTTGGTTTGCTACCCTTTTAATTCACACCCCTCACCACTTTTCTTCTTTCTTTCTTTTTTTCTTTTTTATTTTTTCTTTTTTATTTTCTTTTTTTAAAGGGTCACCCCACCCTTTCTTTGAAGGTTTTGGGAACCCAAAAGCCCTTTTTTATTGAAACTCTCTCTCTCTCATGATTTGGGGCGGTAAGTTCGCGTGCCACTAGCCAAACAGATTCCCTCACGCCTTAACCATTTCATTTCACTTTCTCTTCTTCTTTCCTCACCAGATCCTAGGACTTTCTTTCCACTCTCCCACACACACATCATATTTGTTCTCTAAGGTGGTGGTCAAAAGTTAGCTTTGCTACTAAATTTTCAAGACAAAGTTTCTCACACCTAAATTTAAAATTTGTAACCGATTGTGTTTAACGTGAGAATTTTATTTCTTAAATGCATTGGATAAGGTAGGTTAGAATTATTATACATTCAACCAATAAGAATCATTGATTAGAGTAGTATTATTTAAATTTTTATATAGTTTTATGAAGTTACTTATTAACAAGTGAGATTAATAGACTAGTGACTTAACAATATCATATCTCTATTTTAGAAAGATAAGATTGGAGCATAGTAAAGACTTGTGTAAGTATCAACTTAGAATATATATATATATGTGTGTGTAGGGTGGGAGAGTTAACTTTGAATGGTGTGACCAGTGTGACCCTTGAATTTGAATATGGTAGTACTATTGGAAGTTGGAGAGTCTTGATTAAAGGGGTGGACAAAGGGACACCCATGTTTTTCTCACACTAGAGAATTCTTTAACACAAGCTAAGCTAGTGGGCCATGTGAGGCTTTAGTTTCAATTTTTTTTTTTTTTTTGGTTGGACACGTTGGCCTTCTATTATGAAAGCAAACATACTTTCTTAAATTTATATCTCTAGTCCACTCAAAAGGAATATTTTGAGTGACTTTTCATTCATGTTTTGGTGTCTTCTAGACCATTTATTTCTATTCTAATTACTTATTAAAAGTTAAAACTTTGGAACTGAGTGTAATTTTAAAAAAAATTTGCAAGAAAATTGAAGTAGACTAGAGGTTTTTGAAATGTGTCAATGGGTTGTATCAATCATGCATGGCAACTTATAGGTTCAGTCACTTGTCAGTTTGTGGAGACAAGACAGACACCTCTTCCTGCATGAACTCAAGGTGCCACACCTCTCTCTCTATTCTCTCTCTCTCTCTTTATATCTATACATATATATATGTGTGTGTATGCGTATACACTATATAGTACTCCAATGTGTTTATATGACTTATGTGTCCGGAGACTCCACACATGCAGGCAGGCTATCTCCCAGGAGGGCCCAAAAAGTAGTTCTTGACAATTGATTGGGTTGGATGGAACAACGCATTAGCTTTCTAAAAAGATTGTTTTTCAATGTATATAATTAACTCTTACCAGGAGAGAATTCCATGAAAGATTGTATTTGATAAAGATTTGATTTGCAAGGGGGAATACCGCTTTAAGAAAGAGAAAGAAAGTGAAGAAAGAAAGTGTTTTTCAATGTATATAATTGACTCTTACCTTACCACACACGCTAAAAAATAAAAGAAAAAGAAAAAAAGGACTTTGTAAAAAGATTGAACTACAAATGGGACATCAACTGAGCTTTTGTTTTTGGGTAAGGGGGGCATAAAGTCAGTGGGCAATGGACCTACTGTGACCAAAAATGATAGCTCTTCATTAGCATAGAACCTACTTAAAAAGCCTCAACAGTACTCATAGCAGCCTTTAATACAGTAGAAAAACAGTATAGAAAATGCTAGTTTAGTTCAAAGGAGGAAAAATATCTCCAACCGTTTACCATGTCCTGTTTAGTTCAGTTTTCTAAGAATAATTTTATAAAAATTAAAAATGAGTCTAAAAACGTGTTTGGTTGATAGTTTTTCACATAATCTGATAATAGTTTTGAGTTCAGAAAAATAATATCACTTTGAGCAGTTCTAAGAGCCGGATGACAACCCCCTCCCATTCATAGTCAGCACCCATTCATAGTCAGCGCATTGTGGAGTCCGCACCCCTCCCCACTTAAAGTTTGTTTTCAGGGAGTTTATTGCGCTTTTATATTTGCACTCGAAAAATCACTACAAAACAGGATTTTCTTTGGAATCTGTTGCTGATATTACAGAATTAAATTAAGTTTCACAATAACCATTAGAGTAAATTGCATCCAATTTTAACCAACACGACACATAACTTCTGATTCTGTTTTCTGCCATGACTTGCTTGGCAGAAACCATTTACTGATGTTTTTCAACTTTTCTGTAGAAACTAGTATTATTTTGGAAAATTTGGGAAAAACATTAGCATAGTCAAATTTTCCTAGTTCATTCAATTTCCTGGATATTAAATAAACATCCCCAAATTGCAATCAAACATGAAAATAAACTAACCACATTATTTCACATAAAGTGCCTGCTCAGAATCAAACATGTCATCAATATCATGCAACAGATTCAAATAATTCTACTACCTCTGACAACTCATGAAGAGGAGACTGGCAACACTGGAAGACTGAAGAGAGAGGAAACTGCATTCATTTTGTTTCCCTTTCGAGTTTGAAAAGATACATAATCTGCCTCGAATGATAGAAATTTTCTACTTTTAGTAAAATTTTACATGCATTTTTAAGAACTTGTATCATTATATCAAAATTTTGGCAGCTCATGAAGGCAACCATACTCTATCACTCTTGAGGAATTTATCCCTTACTAAAAGGGATCATGCACAGCATCCTAATTTTAACTTCCCTTTACAGAAGGTCCGGAACAGGACCCCAAGATTCTAAAGTTTACTTCCCTTTAAGTTTACAGAGGGCGTACAGACACGACCCGAGAAAACCAAAAGTTTGACCCACAATGTTCAACTGCAATCAAGGAATGAAAGTATTTGACATGAAAAAATTAGAAACCAGAAGTACCAAATAAAGGGTAACGAAAGATCGACGAAAGTTTAATAGAAGTTTATTCTCACCAAATCAAAAGGAAGTCCACCAAAGAGTAGCCAGCCAATTCCAATGGTGAACAGATCCTGTAATGACATAATCGGTCACAAAATGCACGGGATGAGTTGTAAATGCCAAGGACACAAAATTTATAGACATCCAAATACCAGCTAAGTGACATAAAAAACATGGTTGTGTCGTGTGAAAAACCGGACAGAGAGGCATATATTCTGGACTGTTCAAAAGAAACTAACGCAATTCTACTAAAAATTCCTATCTTTGCACAAAATGTGTTCACTGAAAATAATTTTGAATTATGAGCATTCAGACCTTAAATAGCCACAGCTGATTGAACTTCTCTATTTTGACATTGAATCAGTGATCAGATTTCACAAAGAAGTCTATTCACGAGATGTAGTGTGACTATCGAGGCAGTTTCTGGTAATGAAAGAAACGAAATGGACAGTCTAAAATAAAAATTATAGCATCAACTGGGAGGAAAAAGCTAGTGTTACTTTTTTAGCATCAAAATTAGCATAATTGCAGTGTCTACAAGAGGTTGGTAAATAGATATTACACACCTTTAAATTACCACAGATCGTCTGAGTGAGGGCTGAATTAAGTGTAGTATTTAAGAAAACAAAGTAATTCAGAAAGAAAGCCATAATACAGGAAAGAAGCATCACAGCCTGCAAAACATTCCAATACGGCAAATCCAAATTAGAGCCTGCATGTTTTACACTGATAGAAAATGCACTTTCATATATAATTAAAAATAAATAAATAAACTAACAATAATTTGTTATCATTTTAAGTTAATTAAGACAGTTATGCTGCTGTGAAAGTATGTGTAGGAGAGACGAATAAAGCATATACTGAAACAAGAAAAGCCTGTGTGATGTCATGTCACAGACGTTTATTATTAAGGTTATGGTGAAGGAACTGCAAATGCATCAATCAAACTCCTTCCCACAGAAGAATAACTTTCAAGCATAAGAGTTTTAAGAGAACTACAAAATGCATCGATCAAAATCCTGTCTGTATAAGAAAGGAGTTCAAGCACAAGCATGAAAAACATTAACGGGCATGTTAATAAACAAAACAAATCAGATAACCTTGTGGTCACAGTTTTTGGTTAAACTATGGCTGCATCAAAATCAATATTTAAGACCTTCTAGACAAGTTCATAAAGATGTTATCTTGCCCGTGTCTCAGAGGCACAGGTAAATGATATCACTGGAAATGAGTAAGTGAATTACAGTCATGAAATGATACTTTATGCTAATAATACTAAAGATACATCAACAACAGAATAAATCTTCAGTAAAGAAAAAACTGCAGCCTAATTTGTTATCCATAAAAGGGGGAACAGAATTGTGGTTACTCGTCTGGGGTTCACAAGATACGTGTCAAAGACATTTCAAATTTTAAATTATTTGGCTGAAAGAAGGGCACAATGTAAAACTACAACTGTGGAAAAAAAACTTAGAAATATCAAAGGTTCAAAACAAATTAGATCAAGATAGATGAATAACAGAATGTAATTCAGTAAAGCAAACACTCGCAATGATTTGACTCCATTAACCAGAAAGAACAGAGACCAAGTTGCATTTATACGTCTGGGATACATTAGAACAGTGATTTCCGGTCAAACTAATGGAAACAATTTTAGAGAGAACAAAGATAGGAGATAAATTAAGTGTGCAATGTTAATCATCATCAATAATAGCAACAAATAGACAAACAGAATTTTATTACAATAATAGCCAAATCAAGCATATCAGGCAGAGATTTGAAAGACAAAATATTAATTCACAAATTAGCACTTCGACAAAATATCAGATTGTTCAAATATGTCATATGAAACAGGTGATTTTCAGAGAACAACAAGAGTGGCTGTACCAAGGGGACTGAATAGACAAACAGACATGAATTACTGAAAAGGTTCTTAAGAATCAATTGCAACTGCAGATATGATCTCTCTCAGAGTGGAACATCAAGAATGCTGTCCTTGTTGCTCACATCAATCGGTTGGAACCAAACCGAACAGGCATTGGGAGGCTTGTTTATATGACCGCACATACTAAATAAAGGATCATCATGTGAAGGACAAGTGTAAAATGTATAAAATAGGCACACAAAGAACCACTTGCCAACTGAATAACATCATCAAAGAAAAGAACAAAGGATCATTCAGCATAACCGAGTTGCCAAGCATGTATTTTGAGAGACAAAATTCTTCATCTGATAGCAAGTACCTGAAAGCCAGGGGTGAAGAGATGAGGAAAGTTCATTGTCACCTCCAATTCACCTCTGATACTTGTCCAGAATAGCAAGATTGGTCCACATATTATACCTACAAGATATACAGGAAAATATGCATTAGAAGGATTATACTTCTTCAATTTTAGAGGAGCCAATATATTATATTTACAAGAAAAGAATGTAATATTCAACAGATTTTATTCTGCCCGGGACCTATTATCTTACCATTGCACCACATAAGACCAAAGCTATTGAGGCCACTGGTTTTTCCTTGAAGATTGAAACAATATTTCAGGTCAGCAAAAGAAATTCTAAACCTCATTGTTGAATGAGAGATGAGAAAGCACAAGGATGAAAATGATACCAATGCGAGCAACATAAGTAAGATATATTGCGGTACAGATGTTTGATGTGAAAACAATAGCATAGCCGTAGAAGTCAAATGACATGTCCCGAGCTCCAGCAATAAATGCACCAACTATGATAATCCCCACACTGATGAAACCCTTGGAAGTTATCCATAAGAAAGGCATTAGCAACGTGAAACATTTAGGTTGAATTTCATGACACAAAATAAAGAAAGAGATAAAAAATACATAAATATACTGTAACGATCTGAATCATATAACATGTGATACACATTATATTTGATCTATCATTTATTTTGTATCATTCATAAAGCTTCATATAAGTGATCATCTCTGAAAATCCAATTAAGGAATTTATAAATTGGTAATAATAATTTTCAGTAGGAAGTATGAATGAGCAGTATAGCAGTGGTTGTGACACCTATCTCTTATGATGCTGAACAAATTTATTACATTTTACCAAAGTGGCAACACGCCATGAATTATAAATACTAGTAAGCACATTAGAGCCGGTTCTTGCTACTATGAGTAGCATGATGCATGTGCAGTGTGCACATAATAGTGTATGTGCTATATAGCTGTTGTAGAGACATCATATATACGATTTTTGTTTCTGAAAACTTTAAAAATGCATATGATAGGGAAAAAACAACAACATAGAGGCAGGTGCATTTACCTGCCAACAACAAATGGTGAATGTTTCTGTTTTGCAATTATATACTCCATAAGCATAGTAAAAGCCACGGTTGTCCTCCTGAGAGTGGTGTACATAGGAATATTTACGCCACGCACAGATTCCATCGAGACCAGCTTTCACCAGAACAGAAATAGGTAGGCATATTTAGATTCGTATTTGTTTTCCAAAAAGATGAAAATGAATGCAAACCATCATACATTTACCATGTAAAGTAAGTAAGATAACGCAAGAGGCAGTGTGTGAACTAATGTCTTCAACGGCACGAGTGTTCCTGGGTTATTAGTGTCACTCTGCGGTTCACCAACTGTGAAAGAGATGATATTCCAGCGTCTCATTGCATAGAGAAACGAACATGAACATATGATCTACAACAAATGTCAAATAAAATTGTTCAACTAACAAGAAAAGATCAAAACTAGCTGGTAATGGAAAGCATTGAAATTTAAACTTCAAATGTAGCTCATGGAATGCATGCATGAACTAAAGAAAATATTATAGTTACAAAATAGAGTATTTTCTCATCTTGATAGAAAATAAGTATGTAAAAGTTACAAAATTTAGATTTTTGAAGGATATTTATGTGAGACAATTCATTCTGGATCTACGGATGACTGTTAAATATCAGCACCCAATAAATATTTGAGCATCTTAGCCTTTTCTGCAAGAAATATTTGAGTCTCTTAGGCTTTTCTTGGGGTGACCAATTCATTTTCCAACAAAAATTTCCATTCAGGTTCAAAGACTGAAACTCCAATGTATCCTTCCTTGATTTAAAACTTAAACAGGACTTGTTCCAAGTAAAAGACGGCACAGGAGCAACCTATCTACACACAAAGATCTTGTTTTGCTGTTCAACATCTTGTTGAAGCAACTTCCCATGTCACCACAGATTGAAAAGACCAAAAATGGTAATTGATATTGGAATACAATATCTTCCTAACTTTTTACTGCTAAAAGAAATCAACTTCAAAGTTTTCATGTACAAATAAATTGCCCGTATTGGGAGTCTGGGACTAAATTAACTAAAAGGTGATCAATAGCCTAAGAAGAGAAATTTTTGCTTGTGCCTTCCATCATCTTCAAATATAACTACATATGCCAATGCATTGTAGCACGGTGGTGCAGATATGGGATATGCAAAGAAGAGGAAAAGTTAGAAGTCTAGTTCTTTTTATTGGCCTATGTCCACATGCACAAGTGCATGCGCACACAAATAATTGCATACCACATGAAAATTTAGGATTCAAACAGGAGGAAGATACGGGTAGCAAGAAATCAATTGTTAACGTATAGTGGTTATTGTTGTTATTATCAGATTCTTCTTCTTCTTGTTATTATTTGATAAGATCTTGTAAAGCAATAATTTGTTGAAGTGACTAATAATGATATGGCTTTATGAAGGAAGCAACTTTCATATGATTCTTCTCCTCTTAGGAACCCAGGCAGGGGCCCAAGGTGAGGCAACTCTTGCTCTGCATATAAACTAACTGAAGAAATTCAACAATGCCAGCGGTTTCTTATAGAGACTATAATTGTAAGCATCTGAAAAAATAGAACTGTTTGATCAAATACACAAGTGATGGCAACACATTCTGCTAGAACATCAAGCAACTAAAAGGTTTCCAAGTCAATAATGTGTAGACTAGTCTATACAAACAATTTAGCACGGGAGCTACCTGCAAAAGTGTGATGACACTTGCACATGGGAAATTGTAAGAAGAAAGGGCTGCTTTGTTGAACATTACCAAGAGGACTGCAGGAGATACATCAAAGCACGAGAGTAGTAGTTAAAATTTTAAACAGAACCGGGAAAAAACGTTATCACAGGAAATGGAATCATGGTAAGTATGATAGCAAATTTTTTATTCGTAAGAATCATAATCATAAAGACCACTAACCTATCATTCATAGGTTGTACTATAACAAGTCATTGATTAAGCAAATGTTAAGCATAAACAATATGAACAAAGTGGTAACATCGGCTAGTATTTTGCAATAAACTGAATAAGTTATGAAAATATAGAATCTGCTCGCAAGACTAGTTGAATTCAAAGACCATATCAACTGGTGTAACCAAGTAGTGCAAAACGAATGACGCCAAGAAAGTGAGAAGAAAGCAAAAGGAACACCTGCGAATAAGAGTTGTTAACATTTTCACCCTGCTCAGAAATAAGTCAAATAACTTCTACAATCTGATCCTCCCATACCCTGCGCAATGGCAGGTCCTTGATTTGATTATTTTGTAGAGTGTTCGGAAGAATCAGTGTCATGCTATGCCTAAAAAGATTTTCTTCCCTTTATTTTCCCCTTCCTCATTCTCTATTCCTATTAATATTGATTCTCATTACTTAAACGAAAAACTAAAAAATTACCATCATACTATCCTAAGATTACCAATCCCACCAGCAATAAAATCTTTTATCAACCTACATAGCAATAAGCAAGATGAATACAGCGGAAAAGATTATCCTTTCCAACAGTGACTTGCAATTGGCATTATTCAAATTGCAGCAGAGAGAGAGCAAAGTGTGTCAAAAGTTGCAAGAATATTCTAAAAACCTTTTTGGCTAGAAAACAGAAGCCACATCTAATTTATATACGACTTGTAATTATCAGTAGTTGACTAATAAAAGACGTGCAGGCTGTTATGTGACAGTATGACATGCACTAAGGTGGCATTCACTGAACAAGCCTACTGCAAAGAAATATTTTAGAGTTCACCCCATTAATATTTGAATAATATATATATTTCCTCACTAAAGATGTGCTAGGCAGCTGAATGCCACCTTAGTGCATGTCACTAAAGGTGGCATTCACTGAACAAGCCTATATAGATTTTCATGGCAAGAATGTGTTAGGGGTTAGTAGGGAGGGGGTGCAAAGGCTCGAAGCCATCTAAGGACGACAGGGAGCAACCCTACCGCTTATACTCCAATCATATCATGTCCCATCAGCCGGGAGGAGGTTCCCTTATAGGTGAGGAGGCAAGTAATGTTGAAAAATAAATAAATACATACAGTAGAATTTCTGTGTTGAAACCTCTCAAAAACATTTTTGTGAGATTCATCTCTTGTCGAACCAACCAATGACAAAAATCAAAAATTGAGAGATGCCCCCATCACTATCATACCGTAAATTAGAGTTTGTCTTAATTTTAGTTAGACAAATGAGAGTGAGTAGATTAAATAACAAACACCAATACTTCTCCAATTAAGCATCATAAAAATACCTAATTCAAAAATATGAGTCCACCAAAAGCTATATGTTCGAATATGCATATTTTACACTATTTATGAGTTAATCGGATCCTACTCATAAACAAACATGTCTATATGTATATATAAATATGTGTGTATATAGTCAAATTGATAAAAAGTAATATAAATCGGTTAGGGAAAAAAAAAAAAAAGTAACATAAATCAAAATGAATGAATGTATGTTATATAAAAAAAAATAAAATAAAAAAAAATAAAAAAAAAAAAAAATTATTGGAAGAGAATTGGAATGAACCTGCACAAGTCATGTAAGAGATGGCAGCGTAAGCACCTCTTTTGGTCATGACAGTTTCCTCTCTCCTTCTCTCACCATCAGAGACTGGTAACTTTAGATTCTCAGGTGATTTCACAAAGACCATTGTGTTCTCTCTCTCTCTAACTATCCTCTCTCTCTATATATTTGTGCGTGTTTATGTACATATATAAGTAGTATTTATAGGAATTTTAAGAAATTGAAAACAGTTGGACACAGAAAGGGTGGTGGGTTGGGAAGGAGGGAAAGGTAGAGGGAGTATTTAAGTTGGCAAGAGTTTGCAAATGACCTAAGAAAGTGTTTGTGTAGTGGACACATGGCAATGGCAGTTTCTGTAGTAGAGAAGATGATCAGCAAAAGTGGGACCCACCTAAGATATTAAAGTTTGAATGATTCATTTGTCCAATAAATTTGGGTACACAAGTAGGATATTAAAGTTTGAATGATTCATTTTGTCCAATAAAATTGGCTAGTGCTTGCTCAACTTTATCACACAACAAAGTACTATAATTCACCATTCAAAAAAAAAAAAAAAAGGTACTATAATTCCTTTTTACAGACTAGATTTAAGGCTAAAAAGCACTCATCTAAAAAGTAGACAATTATTTTGTTTTTTTGAAGGTAAAGTCGACAACAATTTTGGTCGTCCTAAATCATTTATATTTGGAAACGATATTAGCATATACCAAAAATGTATGAGAAATTTTTTAATGAGTTGGTTTGTAATATTTCATGGATTCACTCCTTTTGATTGAAAAAGTATTAAATATTTTCGGTCAAAATGAGTGAATCGGTGAAATATTACAAACCAACTCATTAAAAAATTGGTATTTAAATGCACTAATTGTTTAGAAGATAATATTATGTTAATTATATGTCATACAATTAAGATTTTAGTCAAAACTATCTTTTTATTCCAAAAACAAATGTTTCTATTAGGGAATATAAATTTTAAACTCTATGAAAAAATGTTAAATATATTATTTTTTAAAAAAAGAAGTAAATAATTATTTTGAGATAGTCAAAAAAGGAAAGATGAACATTTTTTTGTTTTTGTTTTGAGAGGGGGTATTTTTTTAAGGGGACAATATTTATTCACGTCCAATAACAAATGCATACTGTTGTTAAAAAAACAGGAAAATGATAATTAAGTACAATAACTTTTGAAATAAATTCAGTCAGCCTCTCTAATAACCTTACTTATTACTTTTTTTGATTTTGTAATGCATTTGTGGACCACATAAACGGTAGGGATTCAGTGAATATGTAACCTTTTTAAGGTATAAAGATGTTTTGTAATATATTTGTGGACCACATCAGTAGTTAATAGGATGACATACTCGTCGGTGAAGATGTAAGTTTTGTCATTTTTAAGATATTCAGATGTTTTGCAATATATTTGTGGACCACGTCAGCACTTAATAGGATGACATATTCGTCGGTGAATATGTAAATTTTATCCTTTTTAAAGTATTCAAACATTATTCGATGGCCTAATTGGCATAATGTCTAACTCTCAAAATGGGTGTGCCGGATAAATATATTTTTAAGCTATTCACATCTAATATTTTTTTAATAATATAATCACTTTAACATTGATAACATTATGATGTGATTTGCTCATTATTTTAGAAGATAAAGATCCTTAAAGTTCAAAAATTCCAAGTCATTGTAAACTAAATTTCTCATATGAAGATGTGCCTTTTTATTCAAATTTATGGGTTATAAATTTTATGCCTTTTCAATTATATCAGTCAGAACAAGAAATAGATAAAATAAATCTAAAAAATGTCACATTTGATTAGGTAAGTATTAAACGCACAATTTTTGCCCTCACCCATATGAACTTATTTTTTCTCTTTTTTTGTAAATGGAGAAATTGTACCTTAGGCAGAAGCTATTCGGAAAATGGCATGTTGTTAAGCAAATAAAAACAAATATTAGTACAAGGAACAATTATTATTGTGTAAGTGATGCAAAAAATTAGATATGTGACTATTTTGCCCTTTTGATTAGTAGGAATGGTTAGATTAATGTTTTAAATTGATTGTTAAATTAATTTTAATTTTATAATAATAAGTATTAATAAATATTCAATAAAAGTTTACACCTGGTATAATTAATCTAGTTTATTTAATATGTTATTTATTTATAAAATTCGCTCATAAGTGTGAACACTGAATTTCACATAATTATGGGGCTCACCGCATTAGCTGTGATGGGACCTCACAGATATATTAGACATTGTCACTTTTATAATTTTTCTTAAAGAAACAGTATAATAGTATGTATTAAAGGAGGTGTAAATTGTAAAACTAATTTAGTTTATTTAATATGTTATTTGTGTATAAAATTCACTAAGCTCATTAAATGTTAAATCTTTCCTGTATTAGTATAAATACTAGTCCCGTGAAAGTATAAAGAAGATTGTATAGTTAAAATAATTTTATATCAAAATTTATTTATCTTAAATCACAATATTACACTGTCAAAAATTTACACAATCTTTATCTTGACAAAGTTATAAACTTTAACCGTTTCAAATAATATAATTTTATGATATTTTGAATTGAATTATTAATTTTTTTTTTTTTTAAAGTAAGACCACTTTAATATTAACAATTGATGATATAATTTACCTTTCAAAAAAAAAAAAAAATGATGAAAATTATGGTAGCGTTAATCTAAAATACCCATTTACAGTCTGTTTTTACATCTCTCATCCTACATTTCTCTACTCGTACTCTCTCTCTCTCTACATCTCTGATCACACCGTGATCATCACAGGCTATGCAAGGAACAGAGGCGACGCCGATTAGGCAGAATCTCAGCAGAAAGTAAGCATTCACTAATCACTAATTAAATCTGATTTCAGTCGCATAATTTTACGATTATATTTGCGTATTTATATATCATACTTATACATTTGATTCGAATCTCATTTAATCAAGAACGCACATCGTAGTTTTAATTTTTTCCTAGTGATTGATTACGGCCTCAAAACTGGCTTAATCGACAGGCATGAATATCAAATTCGTGAATTCGATCTAGGTTTTATGTGTGATATGGGTTTTAGGGTTCAGTGAGCTTGACCTGTAATGGTAGTAGTAAACAGAGCTCGTTGAGTAAATGGTGTATTGGAAAGATATAATGTACTAATTGGTCCAATTCAATCAAGTGTTTGCATATTTCTGTACGTTTTTGTGAGGTAGACTTGGAGGCCACGGGTTCGAAACAGGAAACAACCTCGCTCTGGCATAAGCCCGGACTAGCCTTTTTTTTGAGATAGTCTAATGGAAAAAACCCGCACCTTTTCTTAAATTAATAGCTTTTTTTATGCTACCCTTCTCCCATTCATAGTAAGAAAAAGAACCACATGCTTCATAAATTATGGAAGTATATTCTGGATAGTTATGCACCCTAGGAACTGCATATATATATATTTTTAAAAACTGGAACCTTGCTGTTCTAAATGTCTAAACTTCAACAAGAAATGTATTTTCCTACTTGCTATTTTAGATTGAATCACAGCAGTTCTGTAATAGATATGTTACAGATGATATAACTCCTTCTAGTTTGGGTTTGCCACGGGGAGAATTTAATTTTATGCCTAGCTTCTAATTAGTTCTCAGATTAGGAAGAAATAATTTTAATGAGGTAGAGCACCATAGGCACAAGAATATCACAGGCTAAAGGATATTGTATGTTTAGTAATTAAACAAGCTATATGGTCAGACTTGAGATATTTTAATATCTCAGCTCAAACTCAACTCAACGAAGCCTTTTTCCAACTACTTGGGGAGACATCTTGAATATTTTGTTAACCACGAATTGTCACCTTTTGTACTATTTCAGCTTTTCCAATTGCAGAATTAGAAGGATAGGAATCCAACTAGTTTTTGTGATGATACAAGAATCCAAATGTTATAATTTTCACGTATACTTTTTGTTCCTGCTTACATGTTCTAGGAAACAGCATGATCTTGTAGCTGTTTTATATATGCTTCTGTTTGTTCCCAGAGGTGATCTCCATCATATATCAGGGAATTTGAATATGAGAGAACAATGCGTTTGTGGGAGGTAATTAGGTATTGTGGACGCATCATCTATCTGAGCACCTCCACCTATATGTTTGTGTTGCAATCCTGAAAAGGTTCCACGGCTAAATTATGAGCTAGCAGATGGATTTTGACACACTACTGAAAATGAGTGGTCAAATTGACCTTGATGCTACTCTCGGGGATGCACAAGCTTGTTTATTTTCAAATCGCCGCTTTTGGAGGGATTTGTTAGTTTTACACTAAAGGAGGCACAGTTACTTCTCTGTAGTTGGTGGTCTCATATGAATTCTTTTGATGGAGTTGTTCATTTTTTGTATTGAAATCTCTTGCTATAATTACCCTTGAATCTTATACTGACAACGGACGCTACTTGATTCTTTTGCAGTGTTGTATATCTTATGAGCATTTGTTATGTCCAAGTTCTTTCAACATCATTGTGTTTCTGGCTCCATTATGTGATACGACCACTTTAAAAGTGCTGCGTCTCTGTTGGATTTCAAAGTGCCTGTTTTTATTGCATTATGAGACACTGACACCTCTCCTTGTTGCCGAACTTTGAAAATCCATGACGACCTGCTTGTGTGTATAGACATGCTATATTTCCATGCTTACCAGAACCTTTTCTGTCTGGAAGTGTATATATTCATCTGCCACCTCTTTTCTTAATGCGCTGCAATTTAACAGGGAACCTTTCAATCTCATTTGTCGGGTGTCTCCGAGGTATTACGCTATTGATCAATCTCCGGACTCCTCTCTATTTCCAATTACACAAGCATAGTTGCAGACAAATTTCTGCAACCCTCAAACTGCAACAGAGACTTTTTACTGCAACAATGTTGGTTCCATGCTTTCCTGTGAATAGAACACTCTACTGCTCCAAATGCCTCAAACAGAACAAATGGAATCTACGAATGAATGCTGTGGGAAAAATGAGAAATATACTGGGAGAAGAGGTCCAGAGTTACAAGGCTCAAATGAATTGACCAGAATACTATCCTATTTCAGGCAACCCCTATATGGCAATTGCAGAGGAACAAGGCCTAAAGATCTTCAAGTAAATTTGATTGGAGGACACGAGGAAAGGTAGAAGTCCTTGTACATAATCATTGTCAAGACTTATTTGAGTAGTCTCATCTTACTGGTTTATTTGATTCCAGATTGAGTATCAGCGGAGATGGTTAAAGACTTGATCAAGCGAATGACATCAGAGGCAAGTCGAATCTAGAATCAAAATATTCTCCTGATTTTCGTTCTTCTCTTGGTGAATTTCGTCGCTTTCAACGGTGTTGGATTTCATCGCTTTCAACGGTGTTGGATTTGCTTATTTGAGAAATTTCAACATTATAGTGGTGAAATTCACAGTTGAAAAGTGATGAAATTCACTAGTTGTGGAGAACATCAGAGTGATGGAAAGGATTCGGGACTGCAAATCAATGGCTGGAAGTTACAGAGATCAAAGGTGAGTTGGACCTCTGCTGCACTGGAGCCTAACCAGATGCTATGGTTATAGTAACATAATCTTCATAACACGCTTAACTTAGTGCAGTGATAACAAATTTTGGCTCCTTCATTTTCTCAGTTATAGTTGTTTTTTGGTTTGCATAAATGATATGGTGGAACCTATTTTGAAGTGAATGAAGGAAAAATACTTCGGAAATTTTAAGGTTAATGACTAATATTTGAAAACTTATTGGGAGCTTTCTTCGTGGACAGAAAATTCTACATTTTTCCTCTACTATTTTTCAGACCGCCTTTTTGGTTGTGCTTTCTAAATGTAGGAAATTAGAATGTTCTCGTGCTTTCTGCCTACAGCAACATTTATTGCATTTTATCCTCAAGACAGCAATATCATTGCCGTTGGCATGGAGGACTCTTCTATCCAAATATATTTCCAATTAGAAGAGGTTGTCTTCAGTTTAAATTGAAGCCTAATGTTTGTGAGTGAGTTTGCTCATAGATACGACAATTATTCGATTAACATTTTGCATGTTCCATTACAGAGGTCAAAAGCATGCTCAAAAGCCACCAGGAAAGAATAACAGGCCTCGCCTTCTCTAACGTTCTAAATGTACTTGTATCTTCAGGAGCTGATTCTCGGGTAAGATATTGGAGGCAATATGTATATCTATTTTTTTTAATATTTTATTTAGAAAATGCAGTAACTCATATTTAAGAATTTAAAAGAAAAGGAAATACCAAGTGATGGCCAATAGTATGCAGAACTCCACTATCTCTTACTTAGCTTGCGTTTGGCTCTTTACTTTAATTTTCTTCTGTCTCCAAATGGTAGATGTTGATGCCACCTTATCATAGACTGCTAGTGCAGCCCTGGTTGGGATGATTCTTTAAAATCACTTGTAATGGTTGGTTTTTTCCATGTTAGTTTAATCAGGGATATTCCTAGACTTCTGATATTTTTATTGGCAATTTATGTTTCTAAAATAGTGGATTCCACCAAAACCAAGTGCTGCATATTCCTGTGATAGCCAGTCAATATTCGTCGGTTTTGATGATGGAAGTGTCGGTAATCTTACTGCTTGAGCTTCACTTCAAATGAGATGCATAATTAACTCTACTTCTTATCTACCTGCCAATCCAAGGGAGTACTTCCACAATTTCTTTTAGACGATTAAAATAGGAAAGGCTTTTTTGTTTTCTTCTTGCAAGTATCTGACAGAATAATTTGACAGTTCGAGAGTCCATCCACTTGTCATTCAAAACCTAATCAGTTTGCATTGGGTCCTTCTGATGGTGGAGTTTGCGTAGTTGAACCACTAGAATCAGAAGGCAAATGGGGCACCTCTCCTCCACACGAAGACGGTGCTGGGCCTTCCACCGCATTTGAAGCCAGCCAGTTTGGATCTTGCCATCACCCCCAACTTTTCCATGGGAGACTAGGACCTGAGGGTGTAGAATACTCGAAGCGGTCATACTAGAGTTAGTTCAATGGTACAAGGAATGTCAAATCAATTTGAATCCAAGACATGGCGCTAAAAGTTCTCTCATTTGTACTAATATGTAAAAAAATCAGTACAGTGTAGATCTGTAGGAGTCATTTGTGAGAAGGGAATGTGTTTTGAATTCAGTGGAGAGTTCATGAGGAAGTAAAGAATGTGCTTGGCTAATGGCCTTGATTCTTGTTTCTTCTTCTTTTTTTATCCCTTCGGGTTACTCCAGAAGGATATTCTGTTAGTTTGCTGCTTGTTTTATAGTTATAACAATATCAGCTGAAAACAGAATGTGAAAAATAATGGAAAGATCATCTGAATTTCTCATGAAAATTGAATTGCCCAATTTTGTTTCACAAATGACAGAATGAAACAGTATAGTTTTCATGAATTCACTCTGGATTATGCTTATTTTTCCCTCCGTTTTTTTTTTTTTTTTTTTAGGAATAAACTCGTGCACCATTTGTCTTTACTGGACTTAGTTTTCAACTCTCTTTCTTCTAGAAAACTAGTATACAACTCTTAAGGTTTTATTTATTTTTTATTTATTTATAACCTTGGCAAGAAACAACCAAAAGCTCCAATAGCCTTTGCTGATTTGATAACTCTGTCATGCAGTTAATTATTTAAGAGCGGTAAAAATACTATTTAAAAAGAATAAAATTTTAAGCGATAGAAATACTTATTTAAAGTTTTTCATACTAAATTTTAAATTTTATTAAACACCACTACCTTAAGTGTTAAGTTACTACTGGAATTTAATACTTGAACAAAAGATAAACAACTCTTTAAGTATGAATAAACTTTTTTAACAAGTGAATCAGAAAAGGATCAAAAATGTGCCCCACAACTTATTCACCAGGGCTTTATACTAAACAAGAAGTGAACAACCATAAATCCATAAAAATTACCAAGGAAAAAAACATTAAACCCAAACAAGAATTACAAAACCATTCCCAAACCAATGAAAATTACCAAAACAGGAAAAAAAAAAAGAAAAAATAATAAATAAAGAGGAGTATATACGGGAATATATTATTTTCTTTCTTTTTAGATTGCCAAAACAAATAATATTATGAGAATGGATTATTTTATTTCCTTTTTTAAATTATATTTTAACCATATATATGCTCTATATCCGGATTCACGTTCAATTCTTATAATCACAATTCATATAGGTTTTTTTTTTGTTTTTGTGTTTTTTTTTTCTCTCCTCACTTAATTGATGTACATGTATATATATAATAAGTAATATGTGTGTATATATATATATATATATATATATATATATAATAAGTAATATGTGTGTATATATATATATATATATATATATATATATATATATATATAAAACTAATAAATTAGTTTTTTTTTTTTTTGTTTTTGTGTTTTTTTTTCTCTCCTCACTTAATTGATGTACATGTATATATATATATAAATAACTAATAAATTTTTTATTTCTATTTTTTTCTCTCCTCACTTAATCAATGTACATGTGTGTGTAAACAACTACTTTCATGTCATTATATATATATATATATATATATATATATATATATATATCACTTGCTATCAATACATAGTATATATATAGTTAAAATATAATTTAAAAAAGGAAATAAAAATAATCAATTCTTATAATGTTACTCGTTTTGACAAATCCAAAAAGAAAAAAAATAATATGAATTGTGATTATAGGAATTGAACATGAATCCATATATAGCGCTGCGTGTGTATATATATAGTTAAAATATAATTTAAAAAAGGAAATAAAATAATCAATTTTTTTTTTTTTTTTGGCAATCTAAAATGTTATTGATATAAGGGATAAAAGGAGAAAAGAATAAAAGAAGATAAAAAAAAAGTTAAAGGGTAATTTTGTCTTAAAATTTTATATTTTTAATTTCCATACAGGGATGAGAGATCTCATAAAAATGAACGTCTAATTATAAATTATAGCGATGAGCTGAGAAACCAGCTTCCACCGTTCATTTTGTCTACTTATAATAAAATCAAATTAAAATGAGATCCGGAGAATCTAATATAGTTTCAATGTTCATGGTAAAGTTGTGTTACCAACAATTATGATCTTCACCAACGACAAGAGTCGTTGATGGGCTAGGGTTACTGGTGGACAAAAGCCAGAGTGGAAAATTGAGGGAGTGAGCTTGAAGATCCAAAATTTAGTCCGAGAATTTTTTTATTTTCATGACAAAAATGTTAGGGATTAACAATTTAAGGGAAGGGATGGATTCAAGATTGAAACACCGGTAGCAATCTAATTACTCCGTTAACACGACACTTGGTAACAGGAGTTTATATACAGAATTTTTAGCAAATGGGGGCATTATTATAATTTTAAACAGTCCGCACTCGGTGGTCCTCCCTCCTTCATTTTAAAACCAACTTCGTCTCGAAGCCATTGCGCGCGCTCCCTCCCTCCCTCTTCAAATCTCTAGAGAGAGAGATTAGTTGAAGCACCGCCCCTGTCTTCGTCTTCAACAAACTCGACCGCCAAGTCGTTCTCGTTCAATCAAGGTACAAACACATATTCACTTTCGCACTAATTTACACACAAACACACAGATATATATATATATATATATATATATATATATAGATGAAATAGGTATTCAAGAAAAGCTTCAGGAGCTAGATTCCATTTCATCTTGAATATTATATGATATAAAGTGGAAACGACTTCTTTTCGGAGCGTCAATTCGTTCTCGTAATCGATTGTATTATTTAGGCTTTAAGACTTCAATTTGTTCTTCGCTTCATATCTTTCTTTTCTCTCTCTCTCACACACACACACACATAAATATGGTAAGATGATATTGGAAGTTCAAGAAAAGCATAAGGCACTTTAATTCTTCGGATATATGCTCATTCTTTTCTTGGACGGTCCAATACCATACCCTCTATATACATATTTTATTTTAAAGTATATGATAACTAAACAATTCGGACTTAGAAGTCAATTTTTTGATGAGTTTGTTTGGAATTTGGGGATTCTGGTGAGGTGTGTTTGTTTGATCTGTTTGTATGAATCTGTCGGTGTTTCTATATATATATATATATATATATATATTACTTTTTGCAGTTTCGATCATTTTGAAGACAAGGATGTCATCGAGCAAAGAAATTGTGTTTCTTATACTTCAGTCTCTTGATGAAGAGAAATTTAAAGCGACTGTTCATCAGTAAGTGTTAGTTATCTTTTGTTTTATACATTTTTATTTATTTATATTATTTTTTATTTTTACAATCCTTCCTTTTCTGAGAAACCAACCAGATAGTTACACTATATATATATATAGTGTGTGATTTGGTGTGTTTGGTTAATTTGATTTTGTTTAATTATTTAATTAATTTATTTATATGATGGAGGTTGGAGCAAGAGTCGGGACTTTTCTTCAACATCGGATATTTTGAGGAACTGGTGATCAATGGGGCTTGGGATGAGGTGGAGAAATACTTATCTGGATTTACAAACGCTCAGGATAACACTTGTTCCATGAGAATTTTCTTTGAAATCCGAAAGCAGAAGTACCTAGAAGCCTTAGACAGGTAAACTATGCCACAAATTGATGAAATTGGATGCATGCTATACTTGTTTTGTTAGGGTTGCATTTACTAACTCTTTTATAGTTTACTTCAAAGAGGAACTTGTTTTTTATATTCCCCTGTTTTTCTCTTCTTTAATTGTAGGAATGGTACGGCTAAAGCTGTCGATATTCTAAAGAAGGACTTGAAAGTGTTTTCGGCTTTAGACCAAAACGTTTTGAAAGAAATGGCACAGCTTCTGACGTTGGAGAACTTTAGGTACTTGTACTGTACTTAAGTTTTGCTGTATTATTGGGTTCTAAACTTCCTAATGTAAATATATTAACTTGGAGTCTTGCAGAGAAAGGAAGCAACTATCTCTATATGGAGATACCAAGTCTGCTAGGAGATATTTATTTCATGAACTTGAATTGTTGATTCATAGTAATCCCCTGTTACATGACAAGCTAAATTTTCCTAACTTGAACTCTGGACTGGGAACTCTAATGAATCAAAGGTCATTATCTTTGGCTTTGTAGAATTTATTATTTTCTTCTAAATGAAGATTTGTTTTCAGTTGACATTACTCTTTGTTGCGTTGCAGTTTGAATTGGCAGCATCCATTTCATGAGAATCGATCTTCTGTAGCTAATCCTCTAATGGATGTTGTTCCCAAAGCAGGGGTTTTTTCGCCTCTAGGTGCTCATGGTGTAAGTGAACTAGAATGACTTATTCTAATTAACTTTGATTAGAATAAAAAATAAAAAATAAAGTTATTCTAATTAATGGGCTGCGTTCTGGTTTTTAGAAATCTAACTTGGGGTGCTACTTTTTTTTAAATATTTCAGCCTGCACTGGGTCCTCCACCAACATATACTGCAGGACCTCCACCAACATCTCTTAAAGGGCGAATGGATGGTCCATCTTTTATTCCTCACGCTTCATCTTCTGCCAAGCGAATTGGTTTTACTGCATTTTCATCTTCTGCCAAGCCCATTGGTTTTGCTGCATTTAACAGTGGAGGTATCTATAGTATGGTGTTGTCCTTTATGCTTTTACACTAGCTAGTTGGTGAAGCAATTTTTTGATTACTATAGCTTCCCAGCATATCGAACAAATCTAGAAATGGATGAAAATATTAGTGATAAGAAATATTTCATTTGTGGCCAACAAAGTAACAATGATACGTGAACAACATGCTTTCACGCATCATCATATGAATGATGCCAGCCAAATGAATTCTTTGTCTCCGTTCATTTATATTACCGCCATATCACCTACTATGGTTAAAATTTTAAAATCATTTCTAATAACTTCATTCCACATTAATTTTGGTCTCCCTCTCCGTCTCTTACCTTCTATGGAAATTAAACTTCTTGTTCTCACCGGAGCATCTATAGGTCTCCGGTGTGTGTGCCCAAACCATCTAAGCCTACGCTCTCTTATTTTATCGTTAATGGGTGCCACACCTAGTTTTTCTCTTACACTTTCATTTGTAACTATCTTCTCATTTCCACTACATGAAGACCTTGTTCTTGTCTCTTTTTTAAAGCCCAACACTCCGCTCCATAAACCATAGTTGGTGTAATATATGTCCTATAGAATTTTCCTTTTAACCGATGTGTTTTTCTTTTATTAAATAATATGCTACTAGCTTGTCTCCATTTTGTCCACCTTGATCCAATTCTAGTAGTTTATGATAAACTATTCTTTATCATTATTCTTTTTCCTAATTGACGAGTGCTTTCCTGTAGCTGATGCGTTCTACCCTCATATTTGTCTTAATGTAGCAGCTATCTTAGAGCGCCCTGGGATTCCTCCTACAAACAACTCAGCTGTGGTCAATCAATCAACAGATTCTAAACATGTATTGGTGAGACAGAGGCCTTCTGAGATTCCGGATGAAGTACTACATAACCGATCCTCTGTATTTTCCATGGATTTGGTAGCACTCTAAGCTCCATTACTAGAATTTTGAACTCCGTGTCCAAAATTTAGAGCTTTAATTTTTAATTTTATTTAAAAACTTTTCCATGACTTTGAGATGTGTATGATGCTTATACCTTGAAGTTCTAATTTGTGTGATTCATGGAAATAGTAAAAATTGGAGATCCTTTTCAAGGATCAGGACTTGATTCTTTTTCATAAAAGAAGTATACGGATTGAAAATTAGCATTTCTTTGCAATTAATCCATCCTATAAAGCAATTTAATTTGGAACTTGTAGTCATAGAATGCCATTATCATTGAACAAAGTGCTAAAAGGGGTTGGTTGATGTATTTTTCTTAGTTCAGAAAACATTTGAAAGGTTTTTGCTTCTCTTAGTTTCGTCTTTAGGGATTTGGATCACATTCCCAGTTCAGTCTCAGCATTTGAATTTTAGAATTTGAAGCCCTGAGAGTTTTTTACTAGATAAAGACAATATGAATGTTAGCTGGTACAGAATTGACTGAGCAGGTTCTCAGAAGACATCGATTTCCTGTCTATATTAGATGTTTCTGTAAAAGGTGGCCCACAATTTAAGCTTTTTTAGTTGTAGAAGTTAATTTAGGGAGGAAATGAAACTGCACAAGGAAACTAACCTGATATAATTACTATATTAAGTAAACATTGAATGCACTAAATTAAGTTGAGAAAGGAGAAAGAAGGCATTGGCACGATGAATTGAGCTTCTTTTTTCTCTCTTTGTTAGATTTTATCTGATGTCAGGTTGAATGTACCTAAAAAATTCTCCTTCTAAGAGGTCTGATCTAATATATGCCATAATGAACCCTATTTATATTGGGTCTCCATTCGTATTTCTGACATGAGAGACAATTGATATGTTTAGGATTTGAGTGTGCAAAACTGCATATTTGTGCACATGCATGTTTACTTCTTTTTTTTCTTCTAAATTATCTACTTTATGATAAATCCATTTTGAATTCTACCATATTTACTTGGAACAAACTTGGGCAAATGTTTGATCAAGCATTTTAGATCCAACTGCTCCAAGAGCATTGGTGGTTGCATTGGTGAGAGTCACCGTCTCCATCAGAAGAGCATTTTATTTATTAACCTGTGTTTTAATGTTGTCAATATAATTATGCTTTTATGCTTAGGATTTATGTAATTTTGTTTTATCCGTGCAAGTTATGCTTAGATGTCAGATGTCGATTTAAACACACGTGCATTTAGTGATGAACTTTTTCCTTTTGAGTTCCTGTAGAATGGCATAAATCAAAGGTTGGCAGATGAAAAATCCAGAATTGCTGATGAGTTGGTAGACAAATCTAGGATGTGGAAACCGACAGAAATCAGTGAACCATCACAATGCCGTTCCCTAAGACTCCCAGACAATTTAATAGCAGCGAGGGTGCGATACTCTGTTTAAACTTCTTAGAAACTGTCGATTTTTTTTTTTAATCTGTTTAGAATTTTCTTTAATCCTTAACATTATCCTTCCTTATATAAATTACAGATGCAATGCTGCCTCTTTTTAATATTTAATTTTCATGCTTCCTTTTCATCTCTCTCTCTGTCTCACACACACACACACACCAAGTGATGCCCTCAGCAAAAGAACTCATTTTTTTATTCAGAAAGGTAGGGTAAAAAACATCATTTGAAATGAGTTGAAAAATAAAGACACTCGCATGTACAATAATATGAAGATATAATTTTTGTTGGTTCATCAATAATTTATTTTTCTCTTCACCATCATTATTTTAATTCATCACAAAAGATGACTTTCCTTCTCCAGGTTTTTTGAGATAGGACGATTTAATCAGTTGAGACACATTATACACACGCATGTTTACACACACATGCACATGGACATGCATGGTGATGTGTTTCTTTAGACTTGACGTCTTGACCAATGCCATTACTGCCTCTACTGATGTGCAAATAAGATCAGTGGCACGTCTTCAGCTGAATGATTTATATACCAGGGGTTAGGCTTAACTACGTCGAGTGAAAGTTGCTTTGCTGAACCAGAAAATTCAGAACTTATAATATATTTTTATTTGAGTTTTTCAAGTTTGAGATGTTCTAAAAGTTAAGAATCTATGATTTTTTTTCAGATTTTTTTCCCCCATTGAACTCAAGTTAGCCCTCTTATTGTGATTGGTATTCAAAATTTTATGGTTCAGTCTCTTTTTCAACATTTCAGGTTTCCAGATTGTTGTACACAAATTCAGGAGCCATATTGGCTTTAACAGCCAATGCTACGCACAAGCTCTGGAAATGGCCGAGGAATAATGAAAACTCAACCGGCAAGGTACATGTTCACCTGTGGTAGAAAGTTGAACATTTTCACTCTGTTCCATTAATGTACAAAGTATTGCTGCCTATACGCAACTTGCCTCTTATAGGCGACTGCTAGAATTGTACCACAACTATGGCAACCTTCAAGTGGAATGTTGGTGACCAATGATGTCAGTAATACAAACCCTGAAGATGCTGTTCCATGCCTTGCACTTTCAAAGAATGGCGCTTATGTTATGTCGGCTTCAGGTGGGATTGTCTCCTTATATCCTTTGATGACATTCGAGGTACGTAAATGGCCTTTACAACACTTCTCCATCTTTGCTCATGTACAGTTTACTTGGTTAATTTATTATCGCTAACTACAGAAAAAGTATGACAGGGTAACTTCATGATTTATAATTTAACCTAGCTCTATGCATAATTAACTTTTTTTAGATACACTTGACCCTTAGGGTCTATTCTTTGTTTGGAGATCGAATTCATCGTCATCGTCATCGTCATCCTTGCTTTAATCCCATAGTTTGGGGATCAAATTCTATGATCTTAACTGCTTGGGATGTAAAAGTTCTATAAATTAAATCTTGGAATCATGACAGAAGCTACAAATTTTGGCTCCTTCATTTTCCCAGTTATAGTTGTTTCTTGGTTTGCATAAGTTATATGGTCAAAACTATTTTGCAGTAAATCAAGAAAAAAATACTGTGGAAATTTTAAGGTTAATGACTAATATTTGAGAACTTATTGGGAGCTTTCGTTGTGGATTGAAAATTTATAGATTTTGCCTCAACTATTTTTCATACTTTCTTCTTTTTGGTGGTTGTGCTTTCTAAATGCAGACAATTACAACATTCATGCCCCCTCCACCTGCAGCAACATTTCTTGCATTTTATCCTCAGGATAACGATATCATTGCCGTAGGCATGGAAGACTCTTCTATCCAAATATATTATTACCTGTTTGATAAGGTTATCCTCAGTTTAAATTGAAGCCTAATTTTGAGTAAGTTTGTTGATAGATATGACGATTAACATTTTGCATGTTCCATTACACAGGTCAATTGGAAGCTCGAAGGCCATCGGGAAAGAATAACAGGGCTTGCCTTCTCTAATGTTCTAAATGTGCTTGTATCTTCAGGAGCTGATTCACGGGTAGCCTTCTCTTTTATGTTAGAAAATGCAGTAACTTATATTCATGAATTCAAAAGAACAGAAAATACCAAGTGATAGCATATAGTCTGAACTGTGAAGAACTCCAGTATCTCCTCGCGGTTGATGTTGATGCCACCTTATTACAGATTGCAAGTTGTTTGGGATGATTTTTTAAAATTAGCTTCATTAGTAAAATAAATACACATGTTGATTCCTTCTGGCTTCACCTGTATTTGAGTTATTTTACTCCCTATAACAAACCAAATATTGATTAAGTTGGCAAAATGTTGAATGTTGGATTATACAGATAATGATTCCAGTTTGTTTGTACAGCTGTGTGTTTGGAGCACGGATGGATGGCAGAAACGAAGGAGTAAGTGCTTGCAGATTCCGGTTGGGCAAGCCACAGTTCCTCTTACAGATACCTGCATACAATTTCACCAAGATCAGACACGCTTACTTGTAGTGCATGCAACTCAGATAGCCATATATGAAGCACCTATGTTGGAACAACTTAATCAGGTGTGGCATAAAAATTTAATTTTTTTCCTGCTAGATTTATTCAGATTAAGCATCCTCACAACCCAAGTGTCATATTATGCATCGGTTTTTACTTGTATTCCTGAAATTCTATCACTTGGAAATTCGTGTGGGATATTTGATGAGTCCAAGTATCTATTCCAAGCAAGCATGTGCAGACATCAGTGGGTAAATTATTTTGAAAAAAATTATAAGTGTCACTTATAATGGTTGGTTTTTATCATGTTGTTAGTTTAATCAGGGATATTCCTGGACTTCTGATATTTTTATTGGCAATTTATGTTTCTAAAAAAGTGGATTCCACCAAAAGCAAATGCTCCTCGGATCACACATGCTACATATTCCTGTGATAGCCAGTCTATATACGTCGGTTTTGATGATGGAAGTGTCGGTATCCTTACTGCATCAGCTTCATTACAACTGAGATGCCTAATTAACTCCACTTCTTATCTACCTGCCAATCCAAGGTGAGTACTCCCACAATTTCTTTTAAAAGATTAGAAAAAGAAAATGTATTTTTGTTTTACCTTTCTTCTTGTTGCAAGTATCTGACAGAATAATTTGACAGCTCGAGAGTTCATCCACTAGTCATTGCGGCACATCCATCAGAACCTAATCAGTTTGCATTAGGTCTTTCTGACGGCGGAGTTTGTGTACTCCAACCAATAGAATCAGAAGGCAAATGGGGCACCTCTCCTCCTCACGAAAATTTTGGTGGGCCTAGTAGCACCACCTCTGAAGTCGACAGTTTGAATCAACCCTAACAATGAAGTTCCTTGTGCAGGCTTGCTAGCTTTTTTTGTCTAAAAAACCAAGTTTATATATATATATGTCTTTTGATATGGTTTTGTATCTTGCCATCAACCCTAACTTTTTCAAGGGAGTCTGGCACTTAGGTTTATAGGATACTCAAAGCCATCATACTATAGTTAGTTCAAGGGGCGTCAAATCAATTTGAATCCAAGATACATAGTGTAAATCTGTAGAAGGCCTTTGCTTTTTTGTCCTTGGGAGGCATTTTGTGAAGGGAATATGTTTTGGATTCATTGTAGTTCACAAGGCATTTTTGTTCTTTTGATATAGTTTTGCATTTTGTGTTGGGAATGTGTATAATTCTTATTTCTTGTTCTTTTTAACTCCTCCATACTCAAGAAGACTATTCTGTTAGTTAGCTGCTTGTTTAATACTAGATTTTTATTTTTTGGTCTTGTCTTGTCGATAAGAAACTTGTAATTTGTTCCCTCACCTTTCACATTGGGAGGTAAAGGAGATACCATTAGGCCACAATCTTTGATGATTGTTATTTAGTAGTTTTAAGTTAACAATCTTAGTTGAAAAATGATGTCAGGAGGATTAAACTTTATTTTCACTCCAATATTAATTTATTGATCCGAATGTGCCACTTCAAAATTTGTCTTATAGGCAAGGCCGTGTTGCCAGAGTGGTTGAATTGTTTGAAAATCCGTGTTCGAGCCTTGCATCCTCTCCCTCCTCTCTTACTAGTAACCCTAACGTTCTCAAGTCCTATAATTTGTTTTTTGATCTATGCTTTCACCTCTCGTGTACAATAAGTTTGAAATTAATCAGAAAATTTTGGCAAATATGTTGAAGATTCAGTAAGAAGAGTCATAACAATACATTTGGTCCTTGTGGTTGTGGAGTACTTAAAGCTTCTCATTTGTCAATAATTTATTGAAAATACAATAAAAACCTGTTGTCTGGTTAACAAATTAGTCTTGTTTGCTAGTGTTTTCTTCTGTTTGTCAAGGAAAAAAAAATTTATTTGCGATGATTTGATATATGTTATGAATTTAAAAGTGGGCTTTGGGCTTTTGTTTGGGCTGGATGGACTCTTGGTTAGTTTTATTTGCATTTGCGCGGAGTTTCTGTTGCGCTTCGTTGGGCTATAGTTTCTTTCCTTTCTCTTGTACATTTTGCCTTATCTTTCGAGGAAAAAAAAAAAAAATTAAAAGTGAGGAAAAGAGTGAAAATATATATATACGGAGTACCAAGGAAGTTTGAAAAATATGAATATATATGAGTTCATGAAGTAGAGTGCACTTCGGAGATTTCTGTTTGCACATTACAGATGTTTATTTATTTATTATTTCAATTAGTGAACTTTATTCCGAGACATCCATAACATCACAATGTGCATTTGATGAGTATTAAACTATTAATTGAGAGAGAGAATTAAGAGTGTAGTAATGACAAGTCTTTGTGATTGGATAATTAAAAGAATAAAAACTATGAAATACTGTGACGTTGTGTTTGGTAGCTGAAATATTATATATATATATATATATATATATATATATATATATATATATATATTCGATTCAGAATTATTATTATTATTTTTTTTCTTTCCAATTCATTTTTTATTTTATTTTTTAGTAAAGCAAGCAGGCAGGCATTTAATTGGTAACAAATTATCAAATACAATCTAAAGCAAGCAGCCAACTCCATAATAGCACGAGGGAAATCTGATTATTTACAATTGGATGCAAAAATCTGCCTTTCTAATTACACTATTTTTGATGTATCAAAGTCCTTCAATCTTGTTCACTCTCATATTTGACATCAACAGTAAACCTATATTCCAGATCACAACCAATATATGAGTCGCACATGAGATAAAGAATATACTCCTCTCCGGCTACTTTAGGAGCATCAAATTGGAGCTGGACCCTGCACCTCCTTTGCAGTGAAACCCTTCTGACGGCAACCACCTGTTTACTTTCAGTATCACCAACGACAAGCCACCATCCCTCTTCTTTGGCTTTCGGGTACCTAGGGGCATCAACAGGTCCAACCTCTGCCCCACGCTCGAGTTCCCGTTCGACAGCTACCTGCAAAGTCACTTCTTCCCCAGTCCTCACATTCTCACCATCCAGCACCTCGTATTCCATATCCATGTTGGGAAAACGCTTGCAAAACCGAGCAATGTCAATTATCTGTGCATCAGACATCTGCAACAGCTCCCGTCTTTCATCATCCTCCAACTCTACCAAATCAGACAACTTCTCTATTTTCTTTCCGGGGTTCTCTTGGCATTTCTTAGCCAGATCTTTTGTGAAGTGTGGAAGTTGTAGAAGCATGGAATCGCTCTGCCACATGCCCTGGCTCACCATCTGGCTCACTTCCATTGCAAGAACTGCTAGGTTTAGCCACCCATTGCTGAAAATAACATCAAACAATGCTGGAAGCAGTCTAGCGGCAGAAAGGAGCACCTCTCGCTGATCAGAGGCTAGATTCCCACCAACCAATTGCCGTGAGAAATGGGCTTGTAGCAAGGCATGAGCCTTCACATGTGGGTCTGTGTATTTGGGATTCTTCAAGGACCACTTTTGATGATGAATTAACTTGTGTATCAATTCTTCTTCTCCCGGACGTATTGGAAGCTCTGCATACTCCGAAGCTGAAGCCAAAATCTCAACAAGACCCTGCATCTTTGTTTTGGAGGTCAACGAAGAATTAATTCGTTCTACTGTCTTGTAATTGATACAATAGTACGATGCTATCATGCCAAGGTTCAAAAGAGAGACCTCAATATCATCCTCAATGGTAACACATTTACTAGCTTCCAAATCACTCAGTGTGTTCTCTACAAGCTCCGACAGGTGATCGCTAAGATGCCGGTGACTAACACCTTGAAGATTGTAGTAGTTTGGATTTTGCGTTAGCCTTCTATACATGAATGTCCATGTGAGAGTCCACAGCATCCTGTTTGTTCTGTATCACTCCAACAACAATCTCTGCATTAAAATTATCATGAAGGAAGTGATGCAAATGGCTTTCAACTGGGAGTGCTTCATACAAGAACTTCTTATAGTATTCCTTTCGTGGTGCATGGCAAAGGATGACACATTTGCCAGAGTTATCCACTAGAGGTCGACCGGCATGACCCATCATTTGCAACAGATCAGTGACTGGGTAATCAGTGTGAGCATTTTCTCGTCCATCATAATACTGTGTTCCCAGAACCACCACCAAATGCGCTGACAATGGCACTCCCCAGCACAATGAACTGCTCATTACACAAACTTGGATCCATCCAGTTTCAAACAGCGTTTTTACAATATCTCGATCCGTAGTAGTCAAACCCTCGTGCAAATAGCCAACACCGTATTGCAGTGTCTCTCTCAGCATTGGTTCCTTAATCCTGACAACAAAAGGCTCCAGCATTTCTGCAGACCGTAATAAGAAAATCGGCTTCTCTACACTGCCAACACTTGAGTTTGTCATCAGATCCACAGCAGTTAGTTGGGCATGCTTCTTGGTAGGAACAAACACAAGGGCAGGTTTACCAGTCTTAGCATGTTGGACAATTGCAGTATATGTCGGCTTGGTCATTGCTTGCATTCTCGCATCAAAGTTGGTAATATCAATGCCCTGAATGTGTATTTCCAGAGGCACTAGACGGACACTGGGAGGAAAATTGAAAAGGCCATGAGTGGTAGCCCCAATCCATTCTCCTAAATCCTTGGCATTTGCAAGGGAAGTTGATAGAGCCACGATTCGGATCTTGTTGTCGCCTTGAGTGGCAATATATCTCATCCTTGACACTATCACCTCCAAGATGGGACCACCCTGACCCCCAATCAAATGGAGTTCATCAATGATGAAAAGACTGACCAGCTGAACGCACTTCCGCTGCTTCCAGCGCCGGGATAAAGCATCCCACTTCTCAGGAGTGCTGATTATTACTTGACCTTTTTCAAGCAGTTTCAAATCTGTCGCTGTTTCCCCAGTTAATTCTACTACTCTCATTCCTAGACCCTCTCCAAACTTCCTCTTCCAATCATTATACCGTTCCGTAGCAAGAGCTTCAATAGGAGCAATATACACAGCACGCATGATACTCTGAGGACCTTTCCGATAATTCCTCAATATAGCAAATTCTGCACATACGGTCTTCCCACTCCCAGTTGGTGCTGCAACTAAGACATTGTCGTCTGTGTTATACAAGACACTGAAAACCTGAGTCTGGACGGGATTGAAGTGCTTAAATTCTTGATAAAGAGCTTCATACGATGGATTCCTTAATGCAGTCACTGGCAATGGCTGCAAGTCCAATAACTCAGTAGGGGGAGGATACTTTTCCGGTAAAATAAGATGCCTAAAAGAAACAGGCAAAACAGACTGTGATCCAAGCCATCTATCTGATACGACACGAATGAAGTACTGTGGAGGCAGTGGTTCACAGATTGGCACTGTGAAACTCAAGGTGTGATCCTCCTCAACTTACTGTTTCTTTAGCATGAAATATTCGTGATGGAGGATACATTCCCCACCATTATCCTCCACAATAACCCAAAATGGCTCTACAAATCGATGGAATTTGTCCTCCCACTGGAAGTCTGGCGTAATTGTAAGTTCAACCCTCAAAACAGTGCGGGTAATTGGCTGAACATGTGCTGCCAGGTTAAGTTTTGGGAACTGGTGAATGAACTTGTGAAGGGTTCTTCCCATCTTGGGGAAACGAATAAGCTCTCCTAGCTCCTGTGAGGAGAGATCATAATACCTTTCCCAAGCCAAATCTTTCTTCTCCAACTTCATCAAAATTTCATTTGGAATCCCATTGAACTGGCGAAGTGGCATCCGGACACTCCACATCCTCTTGTCAACCATTTTGCACAAATTTAAAGCCTTCTCAGCTAATTGTGCCCATCCTTTTTTCACAACAATCTCAAAAAGAGCTCGCATGAGACGTACGGCACTCTACAAAAAGAAATCACTCATATAAACAAACAGAAATCATAGCTTATAAATTAAACATCAATAAAGGTCATATTTGACAACAAACCTGTGTTATAAACACCATGTCAGACGTCAGAGAAAGTCCTTCAAGCTTTAGTTGTGAAATATATGCTTGCAGCAAAACATTAATCTTAGCACTAGGCTCTTCCATGCTTTCCTTGATGGGAATAGGAACCCGATCTAAGAGCTTTGCCAATTCCATCTTTTCATCTTGTCTCACTGTTACATATTTAAATTCTTCACTGAGGGAAAACAACCAGCAAAGCTCAATATCACCCATTGTTGGCTTCAAATGCTCGTTATATGTCGATATTGTCCCATGAGTAATATAATAGTAGCTAGCAATCCGACCCAAGTCAGTGACCTGGAAATATCCACTTTTT